CCGGCGGCCCGGCTCGCGCCCCCTCTGGGGAAGCCTGCGACGCCCCGCCGGCCGCCCCGTGCCCCGCACGCCCCGTCCCGTGCGCCCCAGCTCCCGCCCGTCCCGCCTAACCCTAAGCCCCGCGCTGTGCCTGCCTCGCCTTCCCCGCAACCCTCGCATGCCAAGTCCGAACCCGGGGGGCAGGAGAAGGGTGGGACCCCCCAGCCCCTTCCCGCCCCGCAGAAGTGGCGCTCGGAGGGGTGTCGGTGCGCTGAGAGAGGAGGTATGGAAAAACGAGGGGGTCGTGGGGAGTCTAGTGTAAAAATGCTCTGGCGTGCAACTTTGGGTGTCCCTGTGTGCGCGTTCGGGAACAGGTCTCGGGGGGGTGGGAGATTGCCGTCGTAGCCCCCAATTCCCAGCAGGAGCTCAGGCCGAGCCCCTCCTGCGCAGCGCGTTTCTCTAGGTGAGGGGCTGCGACACTTCTGTCTGCAGCGGCCATCTGTCTCTGACAGCTAGACAGTTGCCCCCTTCCCGCAGCGTCCCCCGCCCCCACTGCACCAGTGGTGTTGGTGATGGTATTGGGGGGCTATCTGGAAAGCTGGAGAGCTAGCTGAGTAAATGCACACAGTAGGTGCCTGTTAAAGTGTCAGAATCTCTAAACAGCGTTGGAATCAGCCCACTCTAGAAAACCCTTGCGTCGTTCTTTCAATGTGAAGTGTCTGGGGTAGGGGAAATGGGGAAAATTTGACCTGGGTGTCTGGTTTAAGTGGGATGAACCTTTAAAAAACCCGGATGCTTTACCTGAGAGCCTGCCAGGTGAACCTGCCTAGCCTTTCCCCAAATCTGTTCCTCCTTTTAGCTCACTTTGCGAAAGTAAGAGCTTGGCTGAATGCCCACTAGTCCAAATCTTTCCATTCACTGTCCCTTGTCCCCACTTTTAGGAGGATTTGAGGTTTCATATTTTCTTTTGTTTTGTTGGGGGGTGGGGGGTAATGGTGTCTGTCCTGCTCTTAAGAACTAGGGAGGGTACTGTCGTCATCTCATAGCCAGGAACATGGCAGCGATTTTTTCCTGCGTAGATTGAGCCACGTCCATTGAGGCACAGATACCAAGTGTTCACCGTGTGCCAGGCTGATAGGACCCAAGAGTGTCGTTGGCTCCCTCCAGGGAAGCAGTTTGGCCATTTGGGCTTCACCTTGGTCTCTGAGGCCTTGTGGGGTGAATTGTGTAACCTTTCTTGTCTCTCAGGGGCTGAATGCTTCCCGGCCTGCGACCCCCAAAATGGATTCTGCGAGGATGACAATGTTTGCAGGTAACGAAGTGGCTCCTCAGAGGCAGCTATTGGGGGCCAGGGCAAGAATCTTGTGCGTCATACACTCAGGCAGAAAAAAGGGGGGCTTGGCCACTGGGCTGCGGCTCATGGCTTCCTTGCCCCCGCAGAAAACTGGTGGGGGTAGTGAGGGGGAGAAGAGCAGGGGTGGCTCTCTTCTGCCTTCTCAGAAGTGCGTGGCAGGAGAGTCCCTTGCAGGGTGAGACCACTGCAGGCCACTGCGGCAAAATGCAGAGATGTCGCAAGCTCTCAGGGACCCCTCTGTGCCTGTCCCTCAGTGTGTTTTCTTTTTAAGTTTTTCTATCCAGGTGACTGGTGTTTGCCTCCCGCCACCCACCGGTCTGGAAGTATGCAAAGACCCCCAAGTGCTCTCAGTTCCACAGAAAGCACCCTGAGCTCCCTTTCCACTCCTGCCCCCCCCCTTCAAATGTCCCCATCTTGCTTCTCACCCCCCAGGTGCCAGCCTGGCTGGCAGGGTCCCCTCTGTGACCAATGTGTGACCTCTCCTGGCTGTGTCAACGGACTCTGCGAGGAGCCCTGGCAGTGCATTTGCAAGGACGGCTGGGACGGGAAACTGTGCGATACAGGTTGGCACTCACCTTTGCTCACCCCCACCCTGTTCCCTCACCTCCCTGTCCCTCGGCCCCCAGCCTCCCAGCCTGGTGGCTGCCTCCCGCCCCCCTTATTCCTGCACACCTAGTGCCCTGTATTATAATGATGTGTTTATACACTTCCTGCTGGTACTGAATGCCTCCTCAAAGGGAGGGACTTCGTTCTGCTCACCTCTGCACCGCCAGCACCCGGCACCCAGGGAAGGCACTGGGGTGCGGTGCTGGGGAGCGGCCTGTTGAATAAAGAATCACAAAATAAACACACACCACACACAAAGCTGAGCGGGTGGGACCACAGACCCCAGGCAACCTGTCCAGATCCCTGAAACTCAGAGACAGGAAAGGACTCCGGGGGATCTCAGAGCTAAGACTCCCAGAAAATCACAGCAATACTCTAAGGAGTCTGCAGAGAGCAAGCAAACACACAAAGGGCTGAGGGTGATGTGTGTTAAGGGGCGGGGAGAGCAAGAGCTGAGTCTGGACCACTAGGATGGGGTGCGGCGGGTGGGGGGCCTTGGCTGAGGTTGGGTGTAAGGGGATGTTGGGGGTTGGGAAAAGCTGAGGAGTTAAAATGCAGATTGGTGTTATCTGTTGATTTCATTAATTTATGCAATCTTTGTCCTTCATTACCCGGAGCAATTGAGACTTGGCTGTCCCTGCATTTTCAGGCTGCTCATTGTTCGTCTGAGCCCATTCTTATTTGGCAAAACCTGCCCTAAAGTCCAGACAAACTAAAGTCCTCAAAAAACTCACAGCAGTGTAGGCAGCTGCCTTAGAGCCTCTGTGCCTAGGTCCCCACTGTTAGCAGAGCCTCATGGTACAAATAAGGAAACTGAGGAACAGAGAAGCAAAAGGGTCTGCTCAGAGATACATAAGTCAGGGGAAAAGCCAGCTAACCCCCACCCCCCACCTGACCCCAGAAATGAGTTAATTTTCATCTGTGACTGCTTCCAGCACCCTCCCTTAAGGAAAACCTGGGAGTATACTGTTACTGCCCAGGTCCTGTATAGCCAAGGGGACTGGCCTTTCAAAGTCGACCCCCATCCCCACTGTCTCTGGTCCTTAACCCCCCCCCCCCTATGTGAAGGGTTTTACCTGCAGCTGACATGCTCTGGCTGACAGCTCTGCCACCCCTCACAGCAGTAGCAGCAGCAACAGCTCTGGGCCGTTTTGGGATCCAGAGTTTCCCAGAAAGGCCACCATTTGGGATCAGGGTTAGGCTTTTAGCCTGGAGCCCACTCTCTTGGGTATATAACGCAGGATGAGCTAGAGTTTTCCAAACAAAGCCTCCCTCCGGGGCCCTTGGCACGACCCTCCAGGTTGACAAAGGCTGTCTGCTTGGGAGTGGCTGGAGAGTCTGGGGTCCCAGAGAGAAAATAGCCCTTCGTCTCCCTTTTCTCCTGGCCTTGAGGCTGTCGCAGCCACAGCTGCTGTCCCGGAAGAGATCCTGGCAGCCTTCTCCTTGGAGCAGCTTAAGCCACCCCTGCTTTGGGGTTGCAGGCTCAGGAGGGCTAATCCTCAGCTAGCAAAGATGGGCATTGCGGGGAGAAGAGCAGGGACAGGCTGAGGGGGGTCGCCAGCTCTTTAGCTTAAATTTAAGATTCTGAGTGACAGGAGAGCAGCGAACAGAGAATTAGGAGCCTGCCGTGGAGGCGCCCTGCGCTAACGGTTACTGTCCCATAAAGATAAATCCTCTTTATGTTTCCTTGCACCAAGCCGGGCTCCCGAGGAACGCCACAGGGTAGTCCATCAACATGGCGTCAGGCTTCTCCTTGTTGACGGACTGCGGTCTCCCCTCCACGAGGGTGTGCCTGTCTTTGAATGAAGAAAAAAAATACGCACACGTGTGGCCTCCACATTAGGGATTTCTCTCCCTCCCCCAGCAGCCTGCCTTCACTTTTCTATTTGGCAGGTGCAGCAGTTCAAGTTATAGAAAACCAAAGCTAAAAAGACCCTCAGAGATTGGCCAGGGAGAGCCCCTCCTTCTATAAGAAGGGAAACTGAGGCACCGAGTAGGGAGGAGCTGAATTCTGTTGCCATATGGCAGCAGGTTGGAAACAGGGCAAGATAAGGATCCTTTCCAGGCCCTGTCGCAGAGCCGGGGTCTCTCCTGTCAGAGAGCCCCTGACCCAGGACCCTTTGTTTAAGCTCATCCTTGGCTTGCTGAGCCCTAACAATGAAGCATTAAAAGGCGGTGGAAATATACCAGTGTTGGTGGAAACCCACACCGACAGGAGAGTGCTCAATAGTTCTAATTTTGCTGCCTTCAAAAGATGCAGCTTTTTAATCATGGACCCTTTTAGTTCAGAACCTGAGAGCAGAGAGACCACCCGGGGGGTGGAGAGACAGTGCTGGGGCTCACTCAGGCTTCTGGGTTCCCGACGGGGGTCTTTACACCTCAATCTCCCCCTGCCCATCTGGAATGGAAAAGTATGAGGGGCAGGTGGTTTTTCCACAGGTTGGGCTGTACTTGTCCCCCAAGTGGCTGGGACCCTCTCCCCCAAACATGAGCAGCTGGACATGAAAACTTGTCTGGAGAAGGCAGGCATTAGGGGATCTCAGTAAGGCTCACTGCTTTGGAGAGGGGCACGGCGTGTGCAGTGAAGGTCACGGACGTGTTGCTGGACCTACGGAGTGACCTGGTACCAGGAAAAGGGTACAGCTGTCTTGCCTAGAATATCAGAGGCCGTGACTTTCTGTCTCCTGACCTTAGACAAGTAAACCCCTTCAGCTTCCCGAGTCCCAGTTTATTCTCTTTAGGTTTTCTTTTCATGGGGGGGTGGGGAGTAGGGGCGAGGGAATCACTGTAAGTTCTTTCTTCAGACCCTGATTGGTGGCCACAGGTAGAGCCATTTGGGGTCCCTGTCTACTTGTCTCCAGAGGGGAAGCTGAGGTCCGATTTTTCTCTGTCCCCCAGATGTTCGGGCTTGCATCTCAACCCCCTGTGCCAACAACGGGACCTGCATGAACCTTGACGATGGCCACTACGAATGCTCCTGCGCCCCTGGATACTCAGGAAAGGACTGTCAGAAAAAGGACGGGCCCTGTGTGATCAATGGGTAAATATTCTTTCCCCACTATGTGTGATCTAGTGAATGCTGCTTTGATTCCTGCTTCTCACCCCCTAAAGACCCTTTCAGCCTAACCCTGGTGGACCTGTCGCCTGACAAAAGACGAAGTAAGTGCTCATCCTGGCAGCCCCGTGGGGGGCCGCCCTAGATTGGGGCATTTATGGGGGAATGTGTCATTTCCATAATTTTTTCAAATGATCCTGAAGGCTATTTCATATTCCCTGATGTTTCCGAGCTCTGATGTGCGTGAATGATGGTGGATTGGGATGGTGAACCGAAGCTCGGCGCTGCGTCATTTTCTAAAGGCAACATAATAAGAGATCAGAATTCGGTTGTGCAACCCACTTACCATATTTTAAGGGGTGGTTTTGGGGTACTGGTGGGTTGTGCAGTTGGATTTTCTGGGATGTCTGGCGAGGGAGCTGTCAGGCCGAGGAGGTAGGGAGACGGGGCACATGAGTGGGTGGGCCAGCTCTTGGCTACGCTCAGTGGGGAGGGGGCTCTGGGACTTCTGGACAGGCAGAACTGTCTTGTCTTGCCCCTCCTCCGGAGCAGCATTTCTAGCAGCTCAGCGTGGCCCATCCCTTATCCCCTTAGCTGCACTGAGCCGTCCGCTCTTGCTGGGTCTTAGACTGAGCCTAGGAGATCTTGACAGAGGGAGTCTGAATTTAAGAATCCAAACTAGAGCCCAATCTTGGGTCTGCAGCTGCGGGGCAGGGGTGTCCCTCTCCTCCAGGAGGCAGAAGCTAACATGCAAAATAAGCTTATCTTAACCTGGCATTCCAGGGTGGCATGGAGAACCCAGGAGTCTGCAAAAGACATTTATGCGGCTTCTAAGGATCAGTATTCAGAAGGGGGTCCGAAAAGGGGGGATGACGACTGAACTCCATTGCTGCTTATTAGCAAGAAGGAAAAAAAGAGTGAGACCTTTAAAATATTTTGCTTTTCTAACAGTCTTGAACCAGTCTGTCAAAATAGAGCCCGAGGTCCTTGAGATTCCTTCAGAGCCCAGCTCCCATGCAGTCCTCGCCCTGAAGCAGCAATGCTGATTTCTTGTGTTTATAGCCCCTTTCTTCCCTGGAGTTTTGGCATTTATCAGATGACAAAGGGCTTGCTCGTTTAAAAGCACTTACATTAAATGCTCCGTGTGCTCTGCTTTGAGCAAACAGCTTCGGTTTGCAAGCTGCACTCGGGTGAATGGACCACTATTAAACAGCCTGGCACAGACGCTGGCTCGCAACAGGATAGACCTCGTATTTCTTTCACTCTGAGAGTCCTTAAGGATTTGCCGCACAATAGCCTGTGGGCTCACTTGCAGAAAATAAAAAATAAAAAAAATAATAATAAGGGGTGGTAGTGGTAGTGGATACAGGTGGGAGCAAGGACAGTGGACCCCGGAGAGAGTAAGTGATGCCCCTTGCTTGGTGCTCCCTTAGCAGCCCAGGGCTGGAGCTCAGGGAAGGGGGCTTGCTCCAGTCCTGAGCTGTCACTAATTTTTCCTCTTCCAGCCTCAGTTTCCCTATCTGTCTAGTGACTAACTATCAGTCCTCTGGTCGGAGAGATGACATAAGAGGTGGGAGAGGACGTGGGCATCCTAGTATAGGAGGTCAGGTGTGCTCCAGGTTGGCATTGTGACGGGTGAGGTGTGTACCCTGCCCTCGAAAGCCGGTGAGCCCCTTGTGGGCAGGGGTTTCAGCCCTGGGCAGGCACCTCTCTGTGCTTCCCTGGCTGTCATTCTGTCCCCACCTCACTAACCTAATGTGTCTTTAGCGCCTGTCCTGCCGGACCTTGCACGGAAGTTTGCGATGTGTCTCGAGAGCAGCCAAGCAAGCCTCTGCCCTGCACCCTACAGGGCCTAGCCCAGCCCCTGAGGGCCCTTTACCGTGTCCCCTGTTGTGTTGCAGTTCCCCCTGCCAGCACGGAGGCACCTGCGTGGATGATGAGGGCCGGGCCTCCTATGCCTCCTGCCTGTGCCCCCCTGGCTTCTCAGGCAATTTCTGTGAGATCGTGGCCAACAGCTGCACCCCCAACCCGTGCGAGAATGACGGCGTCTGCACCGACATTGGGGGCGATTTCCGCTGCCGATGCCCGGCTGGCTTCATCGACAAGACCTGCAGCCGCCCGGTGACCAACTGCGCCAGCAACCCGTGCCAGAATGGGGGCACCTGCCTGCAGCACACCCAGGTGAGCTACGAGTGTCTGTGCAAGCCCGAGTTCACAGGCCCCACCTGTGTCAAGAAGCGTGTGGTGAGCCCCCAGCAGGTCCCCCATGTGCCCAGTGGCTATGGGCNTAAGGCTCACTGCTTTGGAGAGGGGCACGGCGTGTGCAGTGAAGGTCACGGACGTGTTGCTGGACCTACGGAGTGACCTGGTACCAGGAAAAGGGTACAGCTGTCTTGCCTAGAATATCAGAGGCCGTGACTTTCTGTCTCCTGACCTTAGACAAGTAAACCCCTTCAGCTTCCCGAGTCCCAGTTTATTCTCTTTAGGTTTTCTTTTCATGGGGGGGTGGGGAGTAGGGGCGAGGGAATCACTGTAAGTTCTTTCTTCAGACCCTGATTGGTGGCCACAGGTAGAGCCATTTGGGGTCCCTGTCTACTTGTCTCCAGAGGGGAAGCTGAGGTCCGATTTTTCTCTGTCCCCCAGATGTTCGGGCTTGCATCTCAACCCCCTGTGCCAACAACGGGACCTGCATGAACCTTGACGATGGCCACTACGAATGCTCCTGCGCCCCTGGATACTCAGGAAAGGACTGTCAGAAAAAGGACGGGCCCTGTGTGATCAATGGGTAAATATTCTTTCCCCACTATGTGTGATCTAGTGAATGCTGCTTTGATTCCTGCTTCTCACCCCCTAAAGACCCTTTCAGCCTAACCCTGGTGGACCTGTCGCCTGACAAAAGACGAAGTAAGTGCTCATCCTGGCAGCCCCGTGGGGGGCCGCCCTAGATTGGGGCATTTATGGGGGAATGTGTCATTTCCATAATTTTTTCAAATGATCCTGAAGGCTATTTCATATTCCCTGATGTTTCCGAGCTCTGATGTGCGTGAATGATGGTGGATTGGGATGGTGAACCGAAGCTCGGCGCTGCGTCATTTTCTAAAGGCAACATAATAAGAGATCAGAATTCGGTTGTGCAACCCACTTACCATATTTTAAGGGGTGGTTTTGGGGTACTGGTGGGTTGTGCAGTTGGATTTTCTGGGATGTCTGGCGAGGGAGCTGTCAGGCCGAGGAGGTAGGGAGACGGGGCACATGAGTGGGTGGGCCAGCTCTTGGCTACGCTCAGTGGGGAGGGGGCTCTGGGACTTCTGGACAGGCAGAACTGTCTTGTCTTGCCCCTCCTCCGGAGCAGCATTTCTAGCAGCTCAGCGTGGCCCATCCCTTATCCCCTTAGCTGCACTGAGCCGTCTGCTCTTGCTGGGTCTTAGACTGAGCCTAGGAGATCTTGACAGAGGGAGTCTGAATTTAAGAATCCAAACTAGAGCCCAATCTTGGAAGCAGCATTTCTAGCAGCTCAGCGTGGCCCATCCCTTATCCCCTTAGCTGCACTGAGCCGTCCGCTCTTGCTGGGTCTTAGACTGAGCCTAGGAGATCTTGACAGAGGGAGTCTGAATTTAAGAATCCAAACTAGAGCCCAATCTTGGGTCTGCAGCTGCGGGGCAGGGGTGTCCCTCTCCTCCAGGAGGCAGAAGCTAACATGCAAAATAAGCTTATCTTAACCTGGCATTCCAGGGTGGCATGGAGAACCCAGGAGTCTGCAAAAGACATTTATGCGGCTTCTAAGGATCAGTATTCAGAAGGGGGTCCGAAAAGGGGGGATGACGACTGAACTCCATTGCTGCTTATTAGCAAGAAGGAAAAAAAGAGTGAGACCTTTAAAATATTTTGCTTTTCTAACAGTCTTGAACCAGTCTGTCAAAATAGAGCCCGAGGTCCTTGAGATTCCTTCAGAGCCCAGCTCCCATGCAGTCCTCGCCCTGAAGCAGCAATGCTGATTTCTTGTGTTTATAGCCCCTTTCTTCCCTGGAGTTTTGGCATTTATCAGATGACAAAGGGCTTGCTCGTTTAAAAGCACTTACATTAAATGCTCCGTGTGCTCTGCTTTGAGCAAACAGCTTCGGTTTGCAAGCTGCACTCGGGTGAATGGACCACTATTAAACAGCCTGGCACAGACGCTGGCTCGCAACAGGATAGACCTCGTATTTCTTTCACTCTGAGAGTCCTTAAGGATTTGCCGCACAATAGCCTGTGGGCTCACTTGCAGAAAATAAAAAATAAAAAAAATAATAATAAGGGGTGGTAGTGGTAGTGGATACAGGTGGGAGCAAGGACAGTGGACCCCGGAGAGAGTAAGTGATGCCCCTTGCTTGGTGCTCCCTTAGCAGCCCAGGGCTGGAGCTCAGGGAAGGGGGCTTGCTCCAGTCCTGAGCTGTCACTAATTTTTCCTCTTCCAGCCTCAGTTTCCCTATCTGTCTAGTGACTAACTATCAGTCCTCTGGTCGGAGAGATGACATAAGAGGTGGGAGAGGACGTGGGCATCCTGGTATAGGAGGTCAGGTGTGCTCCAGGTTGGCATTGTGACGGGTGAGGTGTGTACCCTGCCCTCGAAAGCCGGTGAGCCCCTTGTGGGCAGGGGTTTCAGCCCTGGGCAGGCACCTCTCTGTGCTTCCCTGGCTGTCATTCTGTCCCCACCTCACTAACCTAATGTGTCTTTAGCGCCTGTCCTGCCGGACCTTGCACGGAAGTTTGCGATGTGTCTCGAGAGCAGCCAAGCAAGCCTCTGCCCTGCACCCTACAGGGCCTAGCCCAGCCCCTGAGGGCCCTTTACCGTGTCCCCTGTTGTGTTGCAGTTCCCCCTGCCAGCACGGAGGCACCTGCGTGGATGATGAGGGCCGGGCCTCCTATGCCTCCTGCCTGTGCCCCCCTGGCTTCTCAGGCAATTTCTGTGAGATCGTGGCCAACAGCTGCACCCCCAACCCGTGCGAGAATGACGGCGTCTGCACCGACATTGGGGGCGATTTCCGCTGCCGATGCCCGGCTGGCTTCATCGACAAGACCTGCAGCCGCCCGGTGACCAACTGCGCCAGCAACCCGTGCCAGAATGGGGGCACCTGCCTGCAGCACACCCAGGTGAGCTACGAGTGTCTGTGCAAGCCCGAGTTCACAGGCCCCACCTGTGTCAAGAAGCGTGTGGTGAGCCCCCAGCAGGTCCCCCATGTGCCCAGTGGCTATGGGCTGGCCTACCGCGTGACCCCCGGGGTGCACGAGCTGCCAGTGCCGCAGCCCGAGCACCGCATCCTGAAGGTGTCCATGAAAGAGCTCAACAAGAGTACCCCTCTCCTCACCGAGGGCCAGGCCATCTGCTTCACCATCCTGGGCGTGCTCACCAGCCTGGTGGTGCTGGGCACCGTGGGCATCATCTTCCTCAACAAGTGCGAGGCCTGGGTGTCCAACCTGCGCTACAACCACATGCTGCGCAAGAAGAAGAACCTGCTGCTGCAGTACAACAGCGGGGAGGACCTGGCCGTCAACATCATCTTCCCCGAGAAGATCGACATGACCACCTTCAGCAAGGAGGCTGGCGAGGACGACATCTAAGCAGCATCCCCACAGCCCCTCTATATTCTCGGGGTCCCGCAGAGCTCACTGTATGCGGTCTGTCCTAATCTTTGTGGTGGAGTTTGCTGTATTTTGTGTCGAATCTGGTGAACGCTGTGCCTACATATATTTGTGTTGCTGTGTGGCAAAACGCAATGCTTTAAGAATCCTCTTTCTCTCTATTAATGCATGATAAAAAAAATGATAATAATAAGACTTTGATCTTTAAACAAGTAAAAGAAATAAGTATGTTATTCTAAACTCTAAACTTAATGAAATATCAAAAAAGACCAAAAAAAAACAAGGCAACAAGACCAGGGCTCCGTGCCGACGTCCCTCTCTGAGGGGTCTTGGCCACAGGGTCCTCGTGTAACCATTACGAATGCTGTGCATGACCAATCACTGTGAAAAGGGCTAAAATCTCTTTCGTTCGTTAATTCTCACACACCACATCCAGCTTGCACTCACAAAGCCCAACACTGCAACCGTAAGATCTTTCTGATTGATTTCAGATTTTGCAGAGTGCAGCGGCTGTGTGTCAGGCAGAGAGAGCCCCGGGTTGTCTGCTGGGGGGCCGGGAACCTGTCCTAGGCCTACCACTAACTCGCTGTGTGATCCTTGGCGAGTCCCCATCTCAATCTTGGGCCCACCTTCTCGCCCCTCTCCAGAGAGGGGTTTGAGCACCTACCATCAAGGTCCTCTCTAGCTCTAAAATTCTGAATTAAGAACGAGGGGGTATGAACCGAAATACCTCCTGACCCTAAAAATTAGGATCTGATGAAGACTCAGTCTCATCCTGTGATCCGAAAGGTATTGGCCTATCCTGGATGCATGCTTGACATAATTGAAATTGATCACTAACTGCATTTCTCAAAGTGGGGAGCCTCCTGGCCCACCTCCCACTTGGGAAAAATCGGCCCCTTTGAGTCTTAATGTGCCATCGGGAGCTGCCACTTAGGCAGCCAGCCCCCCACCACCACCCTGCCAATGCCCAACCCTGTACCTGCCTCCTACCCTGTAGATAAGAGGATGTCTCTTGAAATTTAAGTGCACCTTGAACCGCAAGTGCCCCTGGCAAAATCTGAGCAGCAACACAGCCCTCACCAAGGTTTTCACAAGGTTTGGTGGAAATTGTTGCTTGTGGGGTGCATTTTAGTTCTGTGGCAAAAGTGTTATAAGGCCTGGCCTACACAGCCATGGATTTACATTTGTGTTGCTGAGTTAATCCTCAGATCCGTAAGATCTAGCCAGCTTCTGAATTATGAACTTGAATTTTGGGTTTTTTTCTAAAGAGTATCTATCTTTTTTGCAAAAAAAAAATAGATGAAAATGGGACAGAGCTCTGTTTAGCTGTCCAGGCCTAAGAGCTGGACAGCTAAACAGCCCTTGGGTACCAGTTAGGAATATTTTGCTGCTGAAATTATTTGGATAAGAATCTATACTCTTAGCTTTATTGAGTATTGCCTGCTGTGTTTACCTTGTTGGAAGCATTTATCTCCAAGTCATCTTCACCATCATCTACAGTCATTCAAATCATGGTCACCCACACACACACAAGACGTCACCGTCACCCGCCCATTGGTCATTTGCGTCACCGTCATGACACGATCATCAACCTCATCGTCCCACAGTCGCCACCCCATGTCCCATCATTCTGACTTAGAGCCCGACCAGCATCTCCCCCAAGCTCCCGACCCCCCACCCGGAGCCATTGGTCCCTCACTCCTGGTTCTATAGAACCTTAACCCCAACCCCTCCCCACCCTAGTCACCTCGTCCCCTACTGAGCCCCTCTGCCCACGACTGGTCTCACCGAGCCCCTCTGCACCATCACCCTGGGTCATGAATGACCCCGTCCCAAGCCCCTCCCAACGTCACCCCTAAGCCTCTGGCTCCCCCCTTCCCTGATCACCCTTGCCCCAAGGGCTTCGTCCTTCTCCCCACTGAGTCAGATCCTCATCTCATCACACTTTTAGTTGGTTTTAAGAAATAAAATTTAAAAAGACAAAAAAAAAGAATTGTTGGCATGTGCCAGGTGGGTGTCTGGTACCCTGCCTGGCCTCTCTCAGCGTGAGACCTTGACTGAGTTCGCTAACGATTCTGTTCTTCAGTTTCCCCAAAGGCGAAATTAAGAGTTTGACAAATCCGTCAAATTCTCTGCTCCATTTTTTTCATCTCAGTGCCGTACAGAAGAGCCATGTCCCCTGATGACAAGGAACGAGGTCCTGCGGTAGTTTACTCTTGACCAACTCCTCATCGATTCATTGATTCACCATTCACTCTCCATCCAATCAGGAAGCATTTGTAAGCACCTGCTGAGTGCAAGGCAGTGTGCGGGGAGCTGCAGGGCGTGCAGGATGAGGGGGACAGCTTGGGAGGGGAGCGGACACGCAGATGTCCCCAGGAAGCCCAGCATAGTGCAGGTAAAATTCCGTGGGAGTGGAGAGTCCTGAGCAGACCCCTCCCTTGTGAGTGTCATTGGGAGGGGAGCGGACACGCAGATGTCCCCAGGAAGCCCAGCACAGTGCAGGTAAAATTCCGTGGGAGTGGAGAGTCCTGAGCAGACCCCTCCCTTGTGAGTGTCACCATCTCACTTTCCACGTGACAAGAGATCTATTGCCAGCACATGATGAGGCCGCCCCACCCAAATTTCACAGCGCCCACCCACACGCACCCCAGTGCAACCAGAGCAGCGTTAGCAGCCCCGCCACGGTCTTCACGTCACGCAGAAATGGTCCATTCCATGCTCTATGGTAACCAAATTCTGCTGAGAGTGTCGGGACTTTTGACTGCCCATCCACACCTCGTGTGTGCTTGGTGTAGTGTGTAGTTTACGCAACAAACGGAGAAGCTCAAAGACAGCTGTCAGAGACATGATCACCAATTCGGTCCCAAATTGAGAGGAGGAGGAGGAGGCGCGATTATCATTTGTAACCCAAACTAAGTAAATGTCAATGACGCTCTTTTTAGCTTTTCCGTTTACTATGGAGCCAGACATGCAAAAAAAAACCTTGTTTATGAAAATAAACAACAAGGGCTAATCTTGTGTCTGTTTCTTTGACTTATTGTGCGCCGGGCTACACTTGTCCCCTTCTGGAAGCCACCTTGGACCTGGGCAAGGGGCGTCAGGGGCCCGAGCTTTCAAGGGCCCTGCTTCGGCCCAACTCTGGCCCTTCCTGTGGGGCAAGGAGGCCTCAGGGCTAAGGCGGGGGCTGGACCCACCTGTACATCACTCCCCTGTAGACCACACTCTGGGTACTTGGGACCTGGGAATTTCCTGCCCAGAGGGTCCCGAGACCACCTCCAGGGCCTGCATGGGCCTCCTCCCTGTCTGTCTCCTGATGGGTGGTTGTTTGTGGGTGGCATGGATGGACCCAGGACATGAGGGTTGTGGGGGGAGAGGAGAGAGATGTGAGCACTTGAGTCCCTGCTCAGCACCAGGTGGAACCAAGACCCAGCATTCCCGATGTACCAAACTCCAGCCCAGAACTTGGGTGAGTCTCAGGACCACACACTGGTCCTGGTGCCTTCCAGGGCCTCCTGAAGGGTAAATGCCAGAGTAAGGGGTAGACATAGTTTGTCTGATACTTAGGGACTTACACCCTTTTAAACGTTCACACAGCAGGTGTATGGCCCCCATTCATCCTCCTAACTCAGGCCCTGTATGTGGCGGGAGGGACCTGCCTCCCTTCTAGTCCCAGTGCCCTGGGCCACAAGCTTGGACACCCAGCTCAGTGAATCCACCCCTTTGGGTTCCCACAGAGGGCCCAGCCCAGAGGGGCCTGCAGAGACACCTAGAGTAGAAGCTTCAGTCTAGTGCCTTAGCCCCGTGGGCCTAAGCAGCAGCCCTCGGCTTGGGGTCCCATCTCCACTTCTTCCCATGGCCTGTCCCTCCTACCTCATCCACCATCGCAGCCTCTTTCTGCCTCCCGCCATCTCCTTCTGACCCTGGTCCCCACTGCTGGGGCTCAGGCCCACCTCTTGCCTCTGCACTGCTCTGCTCTCCTAGGCTGGCCCACCTCCCACTCAGCTACCTGCAGGAGACCACGCAAGAGGAGGCACAAAACCTCAGAGATGGATGCTGTGCTAAAACCTATAAGAAAATAACAACACAATGCTGAGTTAATAAATATAGAAACCTCTATGAAACGTAGAAACTTCTATGAAAGGGATGTGTTTTTCTGGGAAAATATTAATCTCTCGAATTCCTCAATGTAGCCAGCAGGAATAAAGTGATAACCTGGGAGAAGGCCCCAAAGTGGACAAAGTCAGACTGACTCGGGTCCACACCACTGGACACTTTGAAGGAACAGGAAGTGCCCTGGCTAGAGAAAGTGTTTCACAGCAAGGAAAAAGAAAAGACGAAGATCTTCCGGTTTGGTTGTCAAAGCTAGGAGAATCCCAATGCTAAAACCTGAAAAAAGTAACAAAAAACAAGGAATGTTATTGTCCTCGCCCCTAAAGAGAGAGACAAAAATGCTTAATAAAATAACAACCCATTAAAAACAGCCATATATATATAAAATTCATGGTCAAGTAGGGTATTTTCTAGGAAAGCAAGTTTAATCTAATATTAGTGAATGCTTTAACAGACAGTGAGTGGTCCAGGAAGAAAGAGACAGCAATGGTCATCCAGAGTCACTGATAGCCAGCCCTGGAGTCAGGCTAGGGACCTAGGAGAAGAAACCCAGATGCAATATCCACCAACCTCTGAGGGCTCCAGGATAGTGGAGACCCAGGGCAGAGGACAGGTATGGGTTATGAGGGATTATGACTGTGAGAGGCCTCTGCATGGTTCCCAGAGCTCAGGGAGCAGCCATGGAAAATCCCCAGTGAACTCCCAAGTAGAGGGAGAGAGGCTGAGCAGCACCTGGAGCAGATGCATGGAAGGTTCCTGAAGGAGAGCTGAGAAGGAGGAATGGGGAGGAGTCAGCTGGGATAGGGGATAAAGAGGAGTGGGCTCCATGGGACAGCTCTTGTGGTCAGGACACAGTTCAGGCCCCTGACACACAGCAGACTACTGGGCAGCTTAAGGTGGGAGCTCAGTTCCACAGCAAACTGGGCACCTGGTTCTGGGAGTGCCTATAAGCCACACTAGAGATAATACATATGCCTTTGGTCTTAGGCCCTGTGGCTTTCTTCCTCTGGTGACTCTCTCCCACTGCTAAAGAAAAAAACACTGACCCTCCGTATCACCTGACCAGGAACCTCGCTTAATTAAACCCATGTCTGTTCACAGGAAGAAGAAAGCCCAGCCCCAAGCCATAGCTGGGAAGGAAGAGTGAAATCCCAGCTAATTCAGAGTTGCTAATTGCTCATCCCCTTTGAGGAGTGTGTTTGGCTGTGGATTCTGTTGTACCATGACCATGGCAAAGATGCA